TGATCTGGCTGTGGTTGTGCTTTGGTGCCTTTCTTATTTTGCACCCTTTTGGCCTTTTCACCGTGTATTTATATTCCTTTTTTTAGCGTTACCTCAGATAATCTGAGTTTATTTTCTCATAATTTACCTCATTCGACTAAAAGCAGTCTTTTCTGCTCCTCCCCGTGGGCCCAAAAGTGAGAGCCCCGGAGCATCTTCTGTGTTCAGAAGCCTCTGCTCAGCTCAGGCCACGGCTACTGGGCAGGAGTGTCCTTAGTGGCTGAGGTCATCACTGATGCGGGACGTGGCCCAGGGAACCACAGGAAGATGTCACCGTATTGGGGAAGACCCAGTATGTGCTTTGTTGCCATTCAGTAATGAAGATGGATCTTGCCTGGACAGGAGAACATGTCACTGGATGGTGAGAGCTGGCCCTCAGCAGGCCTGGGCTCAGCGCTCCCCAGCCCCTCCCTCGAAGGACACCAACCCGGCAGAAAGAGCCCAGCCCCCACCAGAGCTGCAGGCCTGTAGCTCAGAGGCCCGGGAGGGGCCAGGTTTTCTGTGTGTGAGGAGGAAGGTGGGGGTGCCTGACAGAGCTCCAGCTCCAAGTGGTCTGGTGGTCACTGATGGAGGATAGGGTGACCGACTGGGGCAGGGCTGGAATCTGTGGGGGACAGCCAGCTGCATCCCCACACTCCTGACCCCTTTTATAGGTCAGCTTGTTCCCTCCTCCCACAGGCCCTGCTGTCTCCATTTCACAGATGTGGCAGCAGTTGCTTAGAGAGGTAAGGCTGTCAGATGTCCCAGTGCTGGTCAGTGATGAAGACGGGATTTGTCCATTCAGTGTTCTCTCCACACCTGGTCTCCCCTCAGCTGACACACACAGGGCATACGTGGTGGCAGCAGTGCTTGGGCCCACATGGGGTGTCCTCAGGTCCCCAGGCCCAGCAACCTTGCATTCTCACTGAGTTAGCAGACATGCCTATGTGCCCATCATCACCAGACCAGGCTCCCGGCCGCCTGCTCCACGGAGTCCGTGTAAGGCTCACATACCAGAAGTCGTGCTGGTCTCCACACAGAGCCATTTGATGATAAAGTCATGTCCTGTGTATTGTATCTGGTCCCTTTCATCATCGTGATGTGATTGGCAGATGCTGCTTCAGTACTTTCTAGGAAAATTGCACAATGTAGCTGATAATAGGCGATTTCCTGTTTTTCTACCAAGTTGATTGCCTTGCTTTATATTACTTGAAATCAGCCTGCTGAAGTATCTTTATTAGAAAATCTTCTGGTCTTTGTTTTAGGAGCATGTTTGGGAAAGAGGGTCCCTCCTCCAGACAGGGTACAGGCACCCAGGTTCTGCCAGGGCAGTCCCTGGAGCAGGCAGTGCGGAGTTGAATGGGGGAGACTCATCTGTCTGAGCAGGGAGGAATTTCTTGGTCTTCACGTTGGGCTGTATTTTGAGGGAAATGTTGGGCTTTTCTAGCCGCCTTGCTCAGCCTCTTCCGAGGCTTTCTCTCAGCCGATGTAACAGACTGGAAAGGGTGGAAATGAGGCCCGCCGTGGTTAGAGTTCTTGGCCACAGCAGTGAAGACTTGGAGCTCTTCCAGTGGCGTTCGTAATACAGAAGGTGCCTTAGTGGTGGGAGAATCCCGTGTGCATTTGATGCTACTTAGTGATGAGCCTGAGCTAACAATTCCTGTTCTTCCCTCCAGAGAGTGGCTGGGAGAGTGGCACATCCCTGGGGCACTTGCTTTTGCCTTGGTCCCTATGAGCTGTGAACCTTCATATACTCAGAGCAGGGCCAGGGCCAGGCTCAGGTGGTCTGAAGGGTGCATTCAGGCCTGTCTCACAACAACATCTGTGTTCACTGTCATGTGCGTGAGCACAAGAGGCCCTTTGTGGGCTGAGTTGCTGTCACTGAGGCGAGAATGTCTATGCTGGAACCCTGCCTCGAAGCTCAGATCCGCTGTGTGTAGCTCAGCTGATATTCAGGGGTGGTGGCTGTGAATTCTGCCATCTGCGGAACTGAGAGCTGTACATCCGTTTATGAAAACCACAGTGTTCAGGGGAATACCCTTTGTCTTTGGTTTCCACATTGATGTGGTGAGCTATTTCCGGCTGTGCCGGCTGCGCCTTATTCTAACAGCATCAGGTGTGGTAGACACAAACGTGTCCGTTTGCACTGGAAGCCAGTCTGGCCAGCAGCTGGAGGCCCCCTTCCCCGGCAGGCCCTGTACAGAGCCCTGTGCCATCCCCTCCTCGCCCGGCTGGGTCAGGCGCTGTGGCAGTGAAGCCAGTGGCAGCTTCCCTGCCGGGATGGGACTCATTTTCCAGAGCGCTTTTTGTGGGATGGGGTAGGCTATTAGGGCCTTCTACTTCATTCACTCCAGATTGCCCTTTGGTGGTAAATGGAGGATGTCAGTCAGAGATGCTGTGTTACAAACTGAGGGTCTTGGGAACCAAGCCTCAGAGATTATTTATCAGGAAAGAGACTGGGAACAGGCGGCTGGAGTAGTGGTTAATGCTTTGGAAGGGAGAGTCCCCCAAACTGCCTGGCTTCCTTTGTCCCCTTCAATGCGGGTGGCAACATCTTTGCTTCTTGAGCACAAGTAAGCCCAAACTGAGTATTCTGATTGGCATAGGCGAGGTTTGGGAACAAAACCAACAACAACAAAATACTTTTTTGTTTTGGTGAATTATTAAGATATCAGATTGTTAAGATGGATTTGAGGACTTTCATTGCCATCTAGCTTTATTTCTAAAGAAATGCTTTGTAAAATATAATTGGGATGATGCACTAGGATGGGATTCGACTTGATTTTATTTAGAAAAATACATTTGGCCGGGCGCGGTGGCTCACGCCTGTAATCCTAGCTCTCTGGGAGGCCGAGGCGGGCGGATTGTTTGAGCTCAGGAGATGGAAACTGGCCTGAGCAAGAGCGAGACCTCATCTCTACTAAAAATAGAAAGAAATTAATTGGACAACTAAAAATATATAGAAAAATTAGCCGGGCATGGTGGCGCATGCCTGTAGTCCCAGCTACTCGGGAGGCTGAGGCAGGAGGATCGCTTGAGCCCAGGAGTTTGAGGTTGCTGTGAGCTAGGCTGATGCCACGGCACTCACTCTAGCCCGGGCAATACAGTGAGACTCTGTCTCAAAAAAAAAAAAAAAAATACATTTGTGCTTTTTTATAACTGCAGCACTGTTTTTGTGCTTTGACCTATCCGTGCAATTGGCAGAGACTTATGAGGCAATTGGTTGCTGGCTTTTTTATTGATGGTTCTTTGGATGACAATAAATCACAGCAAACACATTGTGCTTCACGCCACAGGATTGTTCCAAATTAAACTTTATTGCTATATGTTTTGTGTGTTTTTAAAAACCTCATTTAAAAATTTTAAAATCTCATTTAAAATTTTTAAAAATGCCTCTGCTTTGGCAACGTCTCAATGTAGAGAAGGTCCCAGTCCCCTGCCCCACCCCGCCTTAGCCCTGTGCTCAGAAGCAGCTACTTTGCGCCTCCCTGATTCTTCTGTGGGTCACTTCTGTGGCCTGAGCTGTGTTTAGGCCTCTTTTCCTGTTTTATTCACTGTAGCCAGGGCCTAGCCATCTGGAAACCTCCTTTGTCAGGAATCATTCCCAGTCTTTTACTTTTTCCCAAAGAGGCAAACCTTAAGAAACAGATTTAGATTGGAGATTTAGCATAAGCAACATTTAGCTGAGTGAATCCTGATATTAGGTGTGCTAGAATGGACGTATTGAGAGAAGTAGACTAATACATAATTAGAACATTTTAAAACAACTGCTCATTAGCCATACAGTTGGATTCTTCATCTGTCCATCCATCCATCCATCCTTGCCTGCATCTGTCTGTGCATGCAAGCATCCACCCACAGGGCCTTGCCGGCCAGGGGTGAATGCTTCAAGAGGGAGGTCCAGAGTCTGACTCAGCCTCAGGGTGGAGGGCTGTCCTGGAGGACCAGGTGGCGAAAGCTGAGCTCTGAAAACTGAGGAGGAAGGGGTGGGTGAGCTGAGGCAACAATATGCACAAAGGCCCAGAGGGAAGAACCATCCAAGGCAGTGGCTCCAAACCTCTTCAGAGGGCAGGCCTTGCTCTAAGAATTTTAGAGGAGCTGTGGACACTCTCTTGGGATGGGGCAGAGGTGGGCACACACTTAGTACATGTTCCCAAAGCTCTACATCTAATTTCTGGAGGCATCTAGATTCCCTGATCCATAAAACTTCCTAATAGCTGTGTAAGCCCCAGTATTTTCCCATGGGGGGAGGCCCAGCTGGATTATGGTGTGATTGTAAAGACTCCTTCATTTGGGGTTTGTTACATTAGCTAGGAATTCACATCTCATCCCTTCAAAAAAACCAAAAACCAAAAAACTGTCTTTCCAGGAGCTGCTTATAAGTATTTAAATTAGCTGAGCACTTAGAGCAAAAATGTCTGCATGTGTGTCTGCATTTTTGTCTGCATTCGTTTCTAGTCAGTGTACAATGTGACCCTGAAAACAGAAGTGTTCAGGGTCACTGCAGAAATGAGCGGGCTTTGTTTTCCAGGGTTCTTAACACTGCGAGAGCAAAGTGCAACTCTTAAATGTAGTTGCGTCCTAATGGAGTCCTTGGTCCCCAGGGTGCCCTGCACTTGTGTGAAGGATGCTCTTTGGTCCAGCTTTTCAAGAACTATACTTTGGGTCTTTGAGTTAGGTCTTCTCTTTGGAGCAGTGCAGATCTGCAGTGAAGACTGAGCTTCTCATCCTGGAGAGGGCTACATACCCAAAGGCATCTTCTGAGTCGGCAACATGTGGCTTATGTAGTTGTGAAGTCACATTTGACTGTCACTTGATTTTAACCTTGAAACATTTACAGACCTTTCCTATCCTCTGCCTGCATTGGTGGGCTGTTGCCAGACTTGAGATGGGAGTGGGTTGTGGTTCTGACCAGTAAACTGCTGGGTGTGAGCTGGAACTACCCTGTCTTTTGCATATGGTAACTTTGCCTTCCCCTACAGCCACCTCACCGAGGGTGTCGTCTGAGCTGGAGCAAGCCCGGCCCCAGACTAGCGGAGAAGAGGAGCTTCAGCTGCAGCTGGCACTTGCCATGAGCAGAGAAGTGGCTGAGCAGGTCAGCGCCCTGGGCAGGTCTGCACCACAGTGACTGCCTGTCAGGGGGCAGAGGGTGGTTCCCAGGGAGGATGATGGCACACCCAGCCCTGTCTTCAAAATGTTTTGGATGTGCTTGCCAAGATGGCACTTTGTGTTGCCACAGGTATGTCCTTGTCACACATTGCCCCCAGTCAGGGAGGGGTCCCATGCAAAGTTATGTCTAAGGAAGATTTTTGGGGAAGTTGTTGCCAGGGGAGGAAACCAGTCAAAACCGCTTCCCAGAAATACTTGTGCAGACCCAGTGAGCATCTGGGCTCTCCCCAAGTGCGCTCAGCGCACAAGCTTCTTGAAGGGTAGTGTGTGGGATGGGCGCTGGGGTGCAGGCCCGTGGGGCAGGAGTGGCCCAACCCTGGCCAAGGCACTTTGGTGAGCTGCAGCAGGAGATGCGCAGAGAAACAGAGGCTGGAAGGAAATGCTCCAGGAAACAAGAGTGCTTATGTTTCGATGACAGAAGTATGTGTACTTTTGATTTTTTCAGTTCCCATTTTTCTTTATGAAGCATGTGTTACTTTAAAACGTGGGAGGAGGGAAAGGAGTGATCAAAGTGACTGTAGAAATATCTCTTTGGTTGCATTTGTCAGATTTGTCTCCACTGACCTTTAGTTAAAAAGGGTAGATGGAGCTGGGCTCGGGTTCCTCCCATTTAGAAGCTGGTGTTCAGAGAAATATTAGGGAGAGTTAGCTCTGAGTATTGTAAGGTTGTGTGTCTGTAACTGGCAATATCCTAAAGCTCAGTAGCAATGGACAGCTTCATTCATGACCTCTCTGTCCCTGCAGTGGGAACCTGACACAGTAACTCTGTCCTCGTGGCTCTGGGGCCAGCACCTAGGAATAAGGCACCCGGGAGTGTCCACTGAGCACACAGAGAAGGATGGACGGTTTGAGACCATTTTGGTTAATATTTATAATAAAATATAAGGAATATATTTATTTATATTCATTATATTATATAAAAGCTAGTACAACCCTGTCTTTTGCATATAGTGACTTTGCCTCAAATAAATATAATGAATCACTTCTGTTAGGAATCATAGAAATATGTAGTCATTTTCGGGAAGCAGAGTGGGAGGCGGAATGATACGTGGTTTTCACCTCTTTCTAATTCCTTTCTGGATTGTCAGATTTGTGTTTTATAAGGAGACATATTGTTTCTATAAGTAGAAAGAATTACAAAGCCATTTTCATTTTGAGAAAAATATATTTTAGATGAAGCACAGTCTCCCTGGTGCGACCCCAAGGGGTTGAGGTCACAAGAGGCGCAGTGAGCCAGGAGCCTTCTGACTCCACACGTTTGGGATGGGAAAGTCATTGTGTTTACAAGTTGTTTTTAAATCTTCCTTTGAAATAACGCACGATGCAATGTGCATTTCCTGTTGCTGGCCAGTGGGACTTGTTCTGTGCAGTGATGTTACTGCAGTTACCATCAGCTTCAAGCTCTCATTGTCCCTGTGCAGGAAGAACGCCTCAGGCGGGGTGATGACCTCAGATTGCAGATGGCCCTGGAGGAAAGCCGAAGGGACACAGTTAAGGTTCCAAAAAAGAAAGAGGTAAGAGCTTGTTTGATGCTGTACCTTAGTTGTTGCCGAAACATCTCCCCCCGGCCCCCGCCTAACCTGCCTCTTGGGATGCACGGTGAGTCCCCCAACCTCCACAAGTGACGCATGCCCGAGGTGAGCAACAGCAGGTGAGACTGCAATTGAATACACACCTGAATGCGCCTTATCTTGTCTGAAAACACACCTTGTCTGAAAACACACCCGAGCTGGCCTTGTCTGTCCCCTCCTCTGTAAAGGCAATGATAGTGCCCGTCCCCATGGCTCGGGCGGCTGGTAAATAAGCCGAATGCAAGTGCTTTGGAGTATATCCCTGGAAAGGCATGCCTAGAAGTGCTGGTCTGCATCGCTGTCATCTCCATACTCTGGGTGCAGCTTCCTCTGCTTTTACACAGAGGCAACCAGGCCGTGGCTGTGCTCCCGACAAGCTTGTTACTGTGGAGTCAAGAGACAGACCCCTTCACACCATAGCCAGAGGGCTCCGGTGGGGGGGGGGGTTGGGATGGAGAGGGCGGGACAGCCCCCAGGAGGGCTGGCCTGGCCCGAATGGGTTCTGGAGGGTGGCTCCAGCCCCAGCAAAAGCCCACGTTAGCCTGGAGGTGTTTGCAGATCCCGAGGGCAGTGTGAAAGCCAACAGGGCATCTGGCAAACAGTAAATAGCTTGGTGTGGCTGGAGCCTGGGCGGTCCTGGGAGGCTGGGAGGCTGGAATGTTGGGGAAGCTGGCGGGGTGGGGCAGGAGCGGGTGCGGCTCGGTTTCCAAGTTGCTCTTGGCCCTTCCTAGGGGCCTCAGCATAGGGAGAGGTGTGGGCGATATTTAGGATTAGTGCCTGGGTATTTGTGATAACTGTAGCAAAGTAAAACCTGTCCCCTTCTCTTTGTCTTAAAGCATGGCTCCCACCCACAGCAGACCACTCTGTTGGATTTAATGGATGCTCTCCCCAGCTCAGGCCCTGCTGCCCAGAAAGCAGAGCCCTGGGGCCCGTCTTCCTCAGCTAGCCAGACCAACCCCTGGGGCGGGCCAGCGGCTCCTGAGAGCACTTCGGATCCCTGGCCATCGTTCGGTAAAGGCCCCATCCTTGGTCTCCCATGCTTGCCTGCTGGGTGGGTGAGGGGCCCGTGCAGTGCTTTTGCTGTCTCTCATCTGGTCAGGTCTGGTCGATTGTGGTGGGTGTCCAGGCTCCTCCAGTCCTCGGTGGGCATCCTACAGGCCCTGCCCTCCTCTCTGAGGATGGTGGCACAGCATTCTGTTTCTGTTTTGAATGGTATTCTGCTTTGGTAGAGGGAAAGCTGATTTGCTCTCTGTCTCACACCACATGTATCAGAAGTGACTTGTCCCTTCTCTGGGACACATCCCTTCTCTTGACACATTTCAACTCTCTCAGCCTCAGAATTGCACCCAGCACCCAGCTTAAGAAACTGTAATACACAGCGTGAAACATCCAAATCAAGTTGCTGTAATTAGCTGGAAATTGTGATGTGCTTACCACCACTGCTAATGGACAGAGGATACATTTGCTATAGTTCTTGTTACTTGTTAAAGTAATAGAAAGTCAGTTTTTAATAGGCTAAATGAATATTTTAAAGTTTGGCTTAGTGCAAAATTTAAGAGAATTTGTGGAAATTCAAAACATGGGCATGATAAACAACAGGTTTGATCTGGGTAATGATCTTGGGCCCATGAGTTTCTTAATTGCTGAGTAGGAGCTTGGCCTACCAGGCTTTGTGAGGGCTTCCCAGCCTGACAGCCCTGCTTTGAACCGTGCCGGCCAGACTGACCCACAGGTTCTGTGTCTAGGAACTTTGAATAGTGTATTTTGTGGCTTCTTGCCTGTGCCTCTTGGAGTCCCTGTTTCCCCCACTAGAACCTTCTTTCATATTCAGCTTGGATCCCCTGATGTTTGCTGCAGTGCACCAGATGCTGGGCCCTGTCCTGCTGTGCAGGAGCCCTGAAACGAACAGGTAACGGTCTATGCCTTCTAGGCCCTGGTCAGGTGCAGACAGCGAACAGCAGTGCTGTGTAGTCCAGGCCTCGGTGGAAGTCATTCAAAAGCATCCTGGGTGAGACTTAGCCCAAGAGTCCAGAGGGTGTGAGGTAGCATCTTAGAGGAGGGCTCCTTCTGTTGAGTCGCCAAGGAACAGCAGGTGGCCAGGCACGGACAGGCAGGGGGTTCCCTGCAGGAGACTTAGTGTGTGCGAAGGCAAGAGGGTATGGAATGGTGGAGTGGGTGCAGGTGCAGGAACCCGCCTGGTATAAACCAGGCCACAGGGGAGAAGGGTGGGGGACCAGGTCACAGCCTTGCCAAGTGCATGGACTTGGTCTGGAAGACAGCATCAGCCCCAGCTGCCCTTTGGTGCTGCTATTGACCTCTGTGACCCAGGCACAGCCCCATACCTGCTTTGGCAGGAGCCCCCTGGGCCTTGGGGCAAACCCTAGGCAAAATTTCCCATGGTTTTCTCTCACTGAAGACCAATTCCAGGGCTGCTTAGGAGGTTGGTTTACACAGTTCATTGCCTGTGTGCTGTGCCCCAGGGAGCCTGTGGTGGTTATAGTCTGGCTGAGCACTCACAGGGACAGGGGTACCCTGGGGACAGCAGGCCCTTCCCGACAGTGGCTTTGGCTTTATTTTTAAATCTGAAAAATGATTCTTCTATAAAGTAATGGCCATCTTAATTTATGGATAGGATGTTCTTTAGGAAAGACTGTTCGATCCCTTTCAAAGTTGTACGATGGATCATTAAACTGATGTGTAGTTTTCTCAGTGCCCTAGGAGCCAGGTGAGTTTAATGCGATTCGATTCTGCTGAGTCAGCAGTTGATTCTGGGGAAGCACTTGGTGGGTGTCAGGGTTGTGGGAGGAAGACTTAGTTTTTACTCTTTACCCTTTTTTACTGTTTGATTAATATTTACCAGGGATGAGTTTTTCCTGGCCAGGAGAGACAAAATACCTAGTTTCTTTAAATGACCAAGTTAATGCCTAGCCCTTCCTTTGGCTTATGGACAAGGCTATGCTTTGGACCCAGCCCTCTCAGTTGAGCTGGGGAGTCTCCGTGGTGGGTGGGAGCAGAGCCACCTGCAGGGCTTGGTATTCTCCTGGGAGGCCACAGGGAGGAGGGCCGGCGGGAGGGCAGCTGAGCACCCTCAGGGGTGCCATCCACGTAGTCTGCTCTTCCAAATTTTAAAAAATTGAGATAATAGTCACCATTTAACCATTTTAAAGTAGACAGTTGAGTAGTTATTAGCATATTCACAATGTTGTACAACTACCACTGCTGTCTAATTCCAGAACATTTCTATCACCCCAGAAAGAAAGTCTGTACCCAGCTCCAGGTAACCACTGATCTGTTTTCTGTCTCTCAGGATTTGTGTTTGTCTGTCCTGGACATTTCATATAAATGAAATCATACAATATATGAGCTTTTGTGATTGACTTCTTTTAGCATCATGTTTCCAAGGTTCATCCATATTGAGGCATGTGTCCTTCCTTCCTTTTGATGGCTGAATAATACTCCATTGTATGGATATACCACATTTTGTTTATCCATGCAGCAGTTGATGAACATTTGCGATTTTCCCACGTTTTGGCTATTATGAATCCCGTTTTTTAAAGAGAAGATCAAAACCTGAATTTTTGAAATCCGTTAATGTTTAAATGTTGGCAGTACATTAAAAAAATTAAGAACATGATTGGGGCTAATCAAAATCTCTCTGAGGGTGGCCACATGGGGCTTGTGGACCACCAATTTGCTGTCTCTTGCCACTTGCCCAACCCTGGGCCTTCCCCTTGGTTCTGATGCACTTGGTGATTTTACCAGTGACTTGAGGAGGAGACAGGCCACCAAAGCCCAGGCAGACTGTTAATTGCTCTGGGGTCACACAGCAAGTTAGGAGTAGGGTCCGTGCTTATGGCACCACATCTTGGACTCATCACACCTCCTGGACTGCTGCAAAGTTGTTCTGTGGCCTTGGCACGTCCTGGAAAAGTTACCATAAATTGCAGTATTGAGAAATAACCATCTTTGAAATGTTAGCTTGTTTGCTTCCTGGCTTCTTCTGGGCATTATGTTTTTGCTTAGTTGAGGCTGTATTATACATATAATTTTACATATATATATATATTTTCAATTTGTATTATGTCACAGGCATTTCCAGTCATCATCAGAAACTATAAATAACATGGCTCTACTGGAATCATATATGGCTGTACCATCATTTACTCAGCAGCCCGTGTTGTACACAGAGGTGGTTTTGCAGTTTCAACACTTTGCATTCAATAGAAAAAGACATTAAAATCACAGTGTTCTTGTGAGAATTCTCAGTGGTGGTGTTAACCAGCTCTGCAGGACAACGGCCCTATGCTAGCTTCCTAGTTTGCCAAAGCATGTTAACAGACCCTTCCTTCCAGGTTCTGTTGACACAGCCCTGTAGCAAGAGCATGGTGTCAGATTTACTGTTTAGCCTCTAGTAAATCCAATAGTGGACATTTTCAGGGCCACCCCTCTGCCCTGCTAGGTGTTCATAAATTAGAAAGATTGGAGGCTCTTCCCATAGCACTGTTAGCTGTACTCTCTGGATAAAAGAAACACTGTTTTGGAAGCCACTATTGGTAGTGAGCCCTATCATTACCAGTTCTTTCCAAACAGCACTGGGGGCAGCTTGGCCAAGTGGCCTGGGAGGAAATGCTCAGGGCTGAAAGGAGGGAGTCTGGAGCCTGCCAGGTCAGCGGGGCACTTCCTCCTCTGTTCCAGACACACAAAGCAGCCACCTGGTCTGAGGAGGGCTCACAGCCTGGTGATTCAGAAGGTCTTGGCTGGCTCAGCCGCCCACCGCCCGGGCTGGGACAGAGCCATCTTCCGCCCCAGCAGCAGCAGGTGGTGCTGCTGGCTTCTTGGTGACCCCTGCACAGCTTAGTTCGTCTGTGACCCCTGAGTTTTGACTGCCTCCCGTGCACATAAATATTCATCCATGAGGCTCGGGGTGAACCAGGCTGGTGGGTGAGAGGCGACTAGGACACATGCTCTCTGTGAATGGGCCCACAGAGGATGAGGCCGGAAGCTGCTTGATCTTTCGAACCTTGGTTCCATCCTCTTTCCTCTCATTCACTCGAGCTTTCAACAGGCATTTATTTATTGGGTGTGTGGCATGGCCTGGCCCCTGCCGAGGATGTGGAGGGTGAGAGCACAGAGAAGCTTTGCAATGGGTCTACTGTCCATTGATGGAGAGGGCACGCCCAGTGCCTCCCCTGCCAGCAAGTGTTCCCCAAGGGCCGGCTGTGCCCTAGCCCCTGTGCTGGCCCCTCTCCCGAAGAAGGAGGAAGGAACATTATTTGTTCCCAAGTCACATTTGAAGAAAGCAAGGTGCCACAGCATGGGGCCTCCAATGACTTCCTAGCACAATGCGAAGAAGAAAGTCACACTGGCCATTCCCTTAAATGCCTTGTCTTTATGTTGGGTCTCATTGTCTTCCTGGCAAACTCCTATTTATTCTTGACTGTTTACCTGTGTTTGTGAGGCTTTGCCCATTTGCATAATCAGAATTGAGGCTAGCAGTTTGCAGAGTGTTGTGCACACACATAGTTTGTCAGTATCACTTGTGGAATGGAAACCAGACAGAGTTCACCAGTGCTAAGGAGCTTGTTCACGGTTACCTGGATGATTTGGGGGTGGCCAGGGTTTGAATCGAGCACATACTTCACTCCACATCCAAAGCATTCCGTGCTGTGACCAGCTTTGTCCGTGCAGGCTATGGGAGTAACAGGTCCCTTACGCGCCAGAGCTTGTTGATACCAACATTGTGCATAGTGCAGGCTGCTGATTTTTAAAATTCTTGGCCATGCTGTTGTTATTATTTCAGCAGATTCTAAAGGGGAAGCCCATGGGAAATAACTGGAATTGTCCACAAAACAGGCTCTAGAATAATCTAAGGGTGGATTGCATGGCACTGTGCGTGAGGCTCTTGTGTGGAAGCCTCGCCTAGGAGCCCGGGTGATGGAGCTCAGCGTGGTGCCAGCTCATGGAGAGAGCTTTAGGCCCACGCGGTGCATAAGGCTGCATGTGTCGTGGAG